TGAACTAGGATGGAGTTTCGTTACTAATTGCAAGGTCCACTTTTAACGCATAAGTCATTTCAGTATATTTTTATTATCATTGCTTTCTTATAAAGATGGATGATTGTTCAGTAATTTTAATCATTTAATTTTTAATAAAATATAAAATGTTAAGAGTTCTCAGAATTTCATTGGATTCATAAAAACATCCTTACATTTCCAGTTTTATGAGTTCTGTAACTATCTTTGAGGTTTCTAACACACAGGCATTTGTTCTCTCTGTCTCTGTATCTCTCTGTCTCTGTCTCTCTCTGTCTCTGTCTCTGTCTCTCTCTCTCTCTCTCTCTCTCTCTCTGTCTCTCTCTCTCTCTCTGTCTTTTGAGTTAGAGTCTCAAGGAATCCCAGGCCGGCTTCAGATTTTCTATGCAGATGACAGTAGCTCTGAACTCCTGATCCACAGATCTGATCTCCATGGCCAAAGTACTAGAATTAGGAATGTGTGCCACTACACCCAGATTATTTAATTATTTCTAAGCAGACAGTCAATTTTCCCCAGAAATTTCAAAATAGATAGATAGGTAGGCAGTGTGAGAGTGAGCAAGAGCAGGAGAGCGAGCATGGGAGAGAGCATGAGAATGAGAGATTGATTTGTGGAAGTTTCTTTCATAAAAAAATACACCAAAGGAAATTTTGTTTTAGAAAGTGACCCTTCTATGTTGTTGTCAGCAGAAATATATTATTTTTTCAAACAGTAAACATTTTGGTTAAATGCTTTTCCTGCTGGGTTGAATAAGACAAAGGTTTTGCTCTCAGAGAATTTAGATTCTAGGGGACAAGATAAGCAAGCAGTCGACAAATTGAATAGAAATGTAGGGCCAGCCAGTGATCAGCGGCACAAAGAAACAAGAGAAGGCGGCCGAGCACACAGTTTCATGTGGTGCAACCATCCAAGGCTGTACTTCTGAGGTCGTACAGTCAAAGGCCCAGAGATGAGAAACATCAACCATGGGAATATACGTGAGAAGTCCGGAGTGAGACTTAACACACAGGAAGAACACTGTCAGTACTCAAGGAGCAGCAGAGAGGCGAGGAGAAAATGGGGGAGGCATGGTAGAGGCTCAGAAGACGGCATCAGGGATGCGCCAGGGGTCTCAGGAAGATGCCTTTGCAGCATCATGAGTAGTGCTCAGAAATGTCAAATTACTTAGGTTCTGAGGATGAATGTGTCCCTGGCAAGAAATCCTCATGTTTCAAGTTCGATGGCAGTAGCTAGTCAGATGGGAAGTTGCAGGGCTTTAGATCAATTTTGAAATTGAGCAGGTAAGATTGGATGTGAAGTGTGGTTGCATAAAGGATCAAAAATGACTCTTGAGCCTTTTCCCTGTCTCTTGGGAATACGATGGAACTAGAAAGAGAGCAAGAAGGTAAGTTTTGGAGCACGTTAGAACACACTGTGCTCTAGAGGATCAGCAGAAGGCTGAAGAGAATGTCAGAGCGTTTGGATATCTGGAGAAGCACAATCTGGAGGTACAAAGTGAGCGCTGTCACCATGTGCACCTGTCCTAGACCCCACCGAAAAGGAAAGCCTGATAAGGAAACCATGGATCTAATTTATCTACCATACCTGCTAGTTCGCGTACTCAAAGCATTCTCGGGACACTGACATTTAGCCTACTGTTAAGTCATCTCATGTAAGGCCTATTCAGTCCCTCCTACAAAATACTGAATACCTGGATCCAAAGTGTGCCGGCAAGGCAGAAATCCAGAAATGATGGTTGTCTGTTCTTAAGACAATGCAGCTAGCCTGTTACAGTTACCCAAAATTGTACGAGACTTTTCACCAGCCCTGGAAAAGTCAAAACTTAAAATTCAAGTTTTAAGTTTCTACCAAATACGTTTTTTTTTTTCTGTTTTGTTTTATTTTTTGGTTTTTGATTGTTTTTTTTTTTTTTGACAGGATTTCTCTGTAGCTTTTTAGTCTGTCCTGGAACTCACTCTGTAGACAAGGCTGGCCTCAAACTTAGAGATCCACCTGCCTCTGCCTCTGCCTCCCAAGTGCTGTGATTAAAGGCATGTGCCACCACCACCTGGCCAAATACGGAATTTTTAAAGCATCATTGTAATGTTGAAAAGTCATTGCCAGGCAGTGATCATCAGTACAGTTCATAGATGCTATTATATTGTAAATCGACGGGGTTACCCGAGAGGATGCATGTGGAGAAGTAAGGAGACCATTCTGAATCTTGAACCTTTGAAAATCTGGTTTGCAACTATGGTGTTATATTATAAATGGAATTGTCTTTAACATTCAATGCTCTGGTTTAAGGAGGGGAGCATTTAATGCATCAGTGAAAGTTCTATCAAGTGGAAAAGCCCCCTTTTGTATCAAATGATCTTTGGGAAGGGAAATGACTAGACACCCCCCCCCCCCATGTTTGGTTGGATTAGCTTTGTGAGTGACAACCTGGCAGGGGTGGTCATTCACACATGTCACAAACCCACTACCTTCATGTCGGCGATGCAATCACGGGCCCCAAAGAACACCACTACACTTCCTAGTGGGGACTCCAAGGGCGATGATATTGTGTTGTCGCCTGTAGTACCGCGGACGCGTATTACCACACATTTCCTACACGTAGTCTGAAGCTGCAGTATTAGAAGGCCACGGTATGAGAAGAATTGTTACCTCAGAAGAAAAAAAAAAACCTGGAGAACCAATGAAGGGAACAAAGCTTTTATTATATTATAAATTGCCCCATTTTCAATATCTCTCTTGCTGAATGTCTACAAATTGGCTCACCTTCCCCACCCTCCGGCCGCATCTTCAATAGCCACCCTCCTCACTAGTGAAACACTGACAAAGCTCCTAAGCTTGGTGTCCAGTCTCTGCCTGTTCCTCCTAAATACACGCGCGTACACTTGAACTACCTTCCTGAGGAGCAACGCCTGCGCTCCAAGGAGGGACCCTGAAGGTCTAGCAGAACTCACGCCTTTCTTTGTTTGGGAACCTCCCTTTGCCCAATTCCTTACTTGTCACTTCCTTGAGGCACACCCCACTTGTGTTTGAAGAGGTGGGTTTACCTTACAATGCTTGTTTGTCCATAGAGATTAGCAGCAAATCACAGAGAGGCCTATCTTCTACTCTGACAGCTGTAATTGACCTCAAAGCTCAGCCTTAGTCCTTTAGAGGGGAGGAAACTAAAACCCATGAGACATACTTAACAACGCTTAGTATACATATTATTTCTTAAGGAAGTCCGGAAGTGATTCAATAGTGCAGAAATAAAAAAGAAGAAAAAGAAGACGACTAAGTTCCCCTCCTTCAACTACTTCCTTTTCATTGTAGTTGCAAAGAAAAATTTTCTCCCATCTCATTTATATTTTAGTGATTGATATATTGCTGTATGTGCATTACATACCATAAAATATAATAAATACAGCAAATTGGTGCAATTCTTGAAAACAGACAATTTATATTAAGGCTGAATATATACATCATTTAGCACTTCTACTTCTAGCCATATGTATTCAAATGAAATATGTACATAATTGAGTCAAAAGACATCTAAGAGAAGGGACATTCATAATTACTTACTGCACAGGAAACTTGCAAACAATGGACACACCTATATTTATATTACTATGTTTTATGAAATATATTAATGCTCTACATCACTGAATGAATACATATGCTAGGTAGCATACCACTTTAAATAGTAATGTAATGATAATATAATAATTCTTGTTTTGCTTTGTCACTTATTTTCTTTTGCTCTTTCACTTAGTAGTTTACAAACTTCTCTTCACGTCGGTGCCTACCAATGGCTCTCTAAAAAGTGACTGGAAAGGAGAGAGAGCAAGATGGCTCAGCTGGTCAAAGAAAGAGCTCGCCACCAACCTTGACCACTTGAGTTTGATCCCGCAGAACCCACATGGTGGATAGAAATCCATTGTCCTCTGACCTCCAATTAAATAAATTTTAATTGAACTGGAAAAGCCCCGGGTTTGTTTTCTATACATCACAGACGCCACAGACGCGTCTGTGGGTAACCCGCGAAGTGTCTAAGAAAATAACTGAGAAAAACGGGAATCCAAGACATTCTTTGGATTTCAACTTTTCTTGGCACTCTACCTAGTGGGCAGGAAGGGACCTTCTACCAGGAGAGGGCACCTCCAGCCCCGCCCTTTGGTAAGGAGAATCGGGTGTAGAGGGAAGAGGAGCAGCGGTATTAGGACTGGACACTTCCACGGGTAATCAGAAAACAGACCCCTGGGGGAGGGAAATCGGGGCGGAGAGAAGGAGCAGATTTCGCTGGCCTTTCTTTTCCCGAGGCTTAGTGATTTTAGCTGCATTTTGACTGCCCGCCATGGCGATTGCTTCCTTCCCAAACCCTCCGCATCCCTTCTTCCATACTCTTCAGATCTGAATCTTACCTTTCCATCCTTTATTCCTGCTTCCTGTTCCCTCAAGTTCTGACTTTCCTCCATCAGAGGATTTTGGGGGAAGTGCCAAGGTTGCAATTTGCTTTAGCTGCCGTGTCTCAATTGGTCAGCTGACACTCACTGGGCGTGCGGCTTTCCTAAAGGTCTAGGTCACAGGAAGATGGCTGCTGTGCCTAACCCTGAAAGCAGAAGCTATTTCCCAGGTCAGCCAATCCTGCCTTAGGGCAGCAGCTGACGCAGGTTGCGCAAGGCCAAGTGAATTTAGAATTCCAAAGATTGCGTTTCAACACCCATGACTCCTCACTTGAATTTTTTATAACAGACTGCTCATGAGACCCGTAATTCCTCCACATCTAGCAGGGGGTGTTGTAAAATCCTAAACACCCCCCCCCCATCAGACCTCGGTGCGTCCAGAGCTGGAGATATGACTGTCTAGTTTTTTTCTCCGTCCAGAAACTGTCCTAAATTCCTAAATTCGACCTCCTCTGCCATCTTTCCACACCGAGAGACTTCAAGTGCATTCTGAACTTCAGAGTTCAGAAGCTGTTCCGGGTCTTTCGCTTTCGTCTAGCACCCAAGAGGCCGGTGTGGATGACGCAGGCTCCAGCAGGGCATCATAACAAGCCAGAGGCGCTTTATCTTAGCCTCAGAAACTTTGTCCCCAGGGTCTGGCGGCAACGGTGTCTGCAGAATTACCGGGCTCCAGGGCAGGAAGACCGAGCGGACCGGACGTGTCCCGGGTCCTCTCACTGAGCTCGGAGCTCCTGCATCCCGGAGTTCCCGAACTGGTCCCCTGACGCTGTCGCTTGAACTTGGAGCAAGACCTCCCTCAGTCCCAAGACCTCCCTCAGTCCGCCGCGCCCCGCAGCGGCTGAACGCCACCAGCCCGCAGCCAGGAAGGAGAGGAGGGAGAGAGATGTTGTGGTTGTGGTTAGGGCTCCTCGGGCAGAAGCTGTTACTCTGGGGCGCAGCAAGCGCGGTCTCGGTGGCCGGCGCCACAGTCCTGCTCAACATTCTGCAGATGCTGGCTAGCTATGCGCGGAAATGGCTGCAGATGCGACCTATCCCATCGGTGGGTCCCGCCTATCCCTTTGTGGGACACACTCTGCTAATGAAGCCCAACGGAGCAGGTAAGGGTTTGTACAAGGAATCTATACTCTGACCCGAAGACTGCTAGGCTCCTTGTCAGTCTCGGAAACCTATCTAACCGACCCCTCCCCACCCTTTGCCATATTGGGGCTCCTCACATCCCTCGGATTCTCTTTGGCTACTAGGAGAAAGTAGAAATCTTTGATCCCTATAGAATAAATTCCCAGGTCTCCCGATTCCAGGTTCCACTCTGGTGCCTGCCAAATTGCACCGTGTCTCTCCCGTCCTATAACGAGTGTACATACAGATTGCAATATTTCCAGGTACCTGTGGTTCCTTTGTTTTTTTTTCTCTCTTCTCCTGCTGTGCTTTGCAAAACATTAAGGAGGAAACCCCTGGGAAAGCTGCAAATATCCTCAAACTTAATGCCATTCCTCTTTGTATCTTAGTTAAGAAAACAAGAGAGCAGAGGTTGTTTTGGGGTTCACCACCCAGACATTGCATGACTTGGTCTTTGTATTTCCACCGTTCTGAGGAAGTTTTGCAAGACTACTTCAGCAGACTCTGCTGCCTGGGCCTTGAGGTGAAAATTACATGGCCAGTTTCAAAAAATTTATTTATTAAAAGTGATTTTTTTTCAAAACTTGAAATAATCTTTTAAAAATACGTTTTATGCAATTTTTTTGTTCTGCTGATGTAAAAACAAAATACTTTAAATCAGAAAGTTCTTCACCATAGTGATATTTGTGGTCCCCTGTTGGAGTAGTGCATTTGATCTTAACACTTAATTTCTATGGCCGTGTGTGTTAGGATGCCCAGAATAGGGGAGATACATCCAGCATGGCACGTTTTAACATGAACCTGCCTCAGAATGTACCCTTTCTTCATACTAATTATGAATAGTTACTAAAGGCTGAACATCTAAACCTTCTTAAGATCCTTTATTATCATTTCTGTGACCCCAGACAAAAACTACGCCTCATGACAACGTGACATGACTAAGCTGAGACATCATAGGAAAGTATGTACCAAAAATATTTTCTAGCAGAAATCCAAGTAAAGTTAACATTAGTTACCTAACAATCTATGTAGGTATGTTAAAACCACATTGCTAACATGCATGCTGCTTACTTGCCTATACTCAAAAGAAAACTAACTTCCTCTCCACTCTGAGGCTTGAGAACTTTTCCTAACAATTCCATTGTGAAAATCATGACAGACAAAATTCAAAGCCCAAAATGCCCATTGAGGAACAAAACGGCTTTTAGTGTAGATACTCGGATTTTCATGAAACCATTCTGTGTTTCTGGTTATATACGGGGGGGGGGGGGGGGCACCATCTTCCGTAGAATGAGAGCTGGCAAGGCATTATCTGGAATGTGTCTGTAAGGGTTTTTTCAAAGGAGGTCAGTGTGTGAATCCAAGTGACCCAGCTAGGAAAAATTCACCTTTAACATGGGCAGAATCCCAGCAGCCAACCCATCCTGAGTGCAGAGAAAGGATACAGAGAGCCAACTGGTGTCTCCTTGAACCTTTCTTCACTTGCCTTGGTCGTCAGATGACCAGGCTGGCCAGCCTTCAGACTGTATCGCTTAGGCAAATCCCAGCCTCCCCACCTCCTCCTCCACAGCTTTCTAGACATATACTTTACTTCCTTCACCCACGGCTCAAAGACTCAGAGTTCTAATTCATCTTAGGCACTGTTTTCATACGTTGGTCTGGGCACAAGACTGACCTTTAGACGTGTGTATCTAAGAACACTGAGACACGCTCAAGGAACGGGGAGATCTCCATGCACAAAGAACATCTCCTCGAGGCCTCAGCTCTTTGAACATCTGCATTTCCCCATTGTGGTTTCATCCATGTCGTCGTCACCCTTGTGTTGTCTATCATGACATTTCAAACGCCAGCAATTATGCACTGAGATGCAAGCCATTACAATGATGGTGATATATTTATGTATTTTAACTTTTGACCCATTTCTTTACGAACACAGTTGATCTGTTATGATTGTCATTAACACATCTGGATGTTTTGACCGTAAAGATATAAACGGGATTACTTATTTTATAACATAAAGTGGCCTCTGAGACAGTCTAGTGGGTTTTCAACTAAACCACTTTCTGAAATTTTAAGGAAATATTTTTATATAATTTTTGAAAATTATTTTTCTGTAATTTTATTTTCAAGATGATAGCCCTTCAGGGTTTATCTTTTAAATAGTTTGGCCTTTCCTGAATTTCCTCACTTGGAATTATAAATGTCTGGGAACAAAACTCTACTTGGAAGGCCATACATTGCCATAGAGCCCCTCCAACTTCACCCTCGGTAAGTCTCATATTTTGGGGAAATGCACTGAAATCTTTAGTGACTAAGACCAGATGCAAAAGAACTTTGAGCTGATGGGGCTCTTCTGAGTCGTTCTTGTTGAAGTGACTCTGAGTGGGGAGAACGGCCACTTAGAAAGGGACGGCTTCTTCCGTCCACAAGGACTGGACTTGGGGACAGAAAACCATTGCTCAATTTTCAGTTATGAAACTCACTTTATTTGGGAAGTGGTTGAGAACTCTCCGAGTTAAGGGTTTTGTTGCTGTTCTTACTCATTCCATTTATAGAAGAAACTATTGGAGTTAGTTAAGATGCACTTGTTTACAGCGAGTCCTTTAAGCACCAACCAAGCATTTATGGAGACCTTTCATGCTCAGCATTGAGCTGAGCAAAAGTGGCCTATCAGAACACGCTAAGATAGAATCTCTGCTCTGAGCTACACTTATGTAAGAGGCTGTGCCTTTTACTCTGTGGCTAATGTCCAGATACACGCCTTGGTATCCTCCCTCTGAGTGTTGCCTGTAGACTCCTGTTGGCATCTAAATTCATACATCTGCCAGCCTTTCCTGTTAAATAACCAAAGGGCCCAGCCTTTGGATTTGTCTCCCTCCAACCACAGATTCAAATGTCCTCATCTTCCTACCACATCAGACCAAACCACGCAGAAGGCAAATGTGGAACAGAATGCTCTGAAATCAATGAGTTGATATAGCCCAGGATTAAAAAATATTAATACATGCATACATATATATATACATGTGTGTATGTACATGTGTGTATCTGTGTGAATGAATGACACATATGTGTGGGTGCTTGTGGAGACCAGAAAAGGATGTTAAATCTCCTGCAGATGGATTTAAAGTAGTCTTCTATTAGTGGTGGGAATTGAACTTTGGTCCTCAGGAAGAGCAGTATGTGTTTTTACCCACTGAGCCATCTCTCCAGCTCTAAGTTTTAAAGTTTTAAAACAATTTCCCTATTAACATTTATTTTATTCATTTACTTACTGCGTGTGTGTGTTTGTGTGCACATGTGTGTGTATATGTGTATGTGCACATGTGCGTGTATGCATGTGTGTGTATGCATGTGTGTGTGCTGACGTGTGTCACAGTGCATGTGTGGAAGTGAAAGGACATCTACCTAGTTAGAGTCATCTCTTTCATTCCACTGTGTGGATCCCAGGGGCTCAAATTTAGGTTGAATGTTGTGTCAATAGATAACTTTACTGGTTGAACCATCTTTCCAGTTCTTTCCCTGAAATTTTGACAATACTGACAAGACTTTTTATCTAAGAGATGTTTGCAGTTTCTTTTCCAAGTGGTTCAGGGTCCTGGGACCAAGCCAGGTCCTACCACTTTCCAGCTAGCATTGGACACTGATTTATAAAGAATCTACATGTTGCCATTTTAAATCCTAATAATTAACTTATAAGAGCTTATATCATTGTTACATTTATTTGAAGGATAGATAGTATTTTTTAAATAATGTTACAGCTACAAGAACGTTGCAGCTCATGGGAGCTCCCCTCCCCTCCGCAGCTTCCTATCACTTACTTTATGTATTTGTCGAAAGGATGTGATGAAACTTTGCACATTTCAATGAACAAATTCCTGTCTCCATTGACTTTAGGACAAAATATTTTTCTTCCAGACTTTTTTCAGCAGTTAATGCAGTACACAGAGGAATTCCGACACCTGCCCCTCATTAAACTCTGGATTGGACCAGTGCCCCTCGTGGCTCTTTATAAGGCAGAGAATGTGGAGGTGGGTATGTAGTCCTACAGGGGACGGTGTGCTCTGGAGGCTGGGATGTAAGAAGTTCATCCAAATACATGGGACAGATACAGCTGCACATTTCCTTACACTCCACCCAAAGAGCGTTTTAGGAGGCATGGTGCAGGCCATTCAGTGATTTCTCTCTGCAGTTCGCTTGCAATCCTGGGAGAATAACTCCCATAGCTGCACGTGTTTCTCATTAGGTCCCTATACACTTGTTCTCGTTTGGATACAAGTCTTCCGAGGGAGATTTCTGTGGTTGTTGTTGTTTTGGGTTTTTAGTGTTCCGGTTTGTATTGGAGATTAAATCTAAGGCTACTGCATGTCACGCAGATGGTCTTCCGTTTGTTGACAGAGGTTTCTGTCCCACCAGGTCCCGCAATCATTCAGTTCCAAAGAAATACACAGAGGCTTGCATTAATCATAAACTGCATGGCCTAATAGCTTGGGCTTCTTATTAATTATTTCTGACATCTTAACCCATAATTTTTGTCTGTGTTAGACGCGTGGCTTGGTACTTTTCATCAGCAAGGCATTTTCATCTGCATCCTCTATGTTTGGGTGATGACTGCAGACTGAGCTTTTCTCTTTCCAGAATTCTCCTGTTCTTATCACCCCACCTCTACCTCCTGCCTGGCTACTGGCCAGTCAGCATTTTATTAAAAATAATACAAGTGACAGGATGAAAGATCATGGTCCCACAGCATCTGCCCAATGTGGCTTTGAACACATCCTGTAGTCCCAGGCTACCCTTGAACTTGTCTGGAAGTCTCCTGCCTCAGACTCCTGAACAACCAGTGCAGTGGTCCTGCACCAAGCCTGGGGCACCAGGCAGTTTTAAAAGTTCAAAACACATGGCTAATAAAATAGGGTGTTTTCATCATGGTTTTTAGGGTCTCATACTATCCGTGATAAATTTATTATTACTGTCCAGAGGATGTGGAGCATAAGGAAAAGAAACTAAGCCTTGGGGTTGTTTACCTGGAATGTTCTGAGGTGTTCTGACCCTATGTCTGGAGCAGAGGCTGACTTAGTTATTTAGTTCTACTGCTTGTAAAGAAACACCGTGACCAAGGTCACTTGTAAGAGAAATATTTAATTTGAGGCTTATGGTTCCAGAGGGTTAGAGTCCATGACCACCTTGGCAGGGAGCAGCAGGCAAGCGGGTATGGTGCTAGGCAGTAACTGAGAGCTCACATCTCACTCACAAGAATTGGGCAGAGAACTAACTGGGAATAGTATAGACTTTTGAAACCTCAGAGCTGAGATTCAGTGGCATACCTCATTCAACAAGGCCACACCATCTAATCCTTCTCAAACAGGTCCACAAAAAGTAGACTATATATTCAAATATATGAGCATTCTCAGTATATTCAAACATGTGGGTCATTCTCATTCACTCTACCATAAAGGCTATTCTGTCTGTTTACTAAACAGTACAGTGAACATGGTATTGAGAAAAAAATGAGGAAATTTTGTCTTAATCATCTTTTATAGGATTGTCAAAAGGTAAAAAAAAAAAATGTTTTTCTAACCCTTTTGACTCAGAATAGCACATAAAGCCACAACCAGATATTATCGATGTGTGACCACATGCTTCTTTCAAAATTGTGTGTGTGTGTGTGTGTGAAGGTGTGTATGGAGTGTGTGTATGTGTTGCTTTCAACGTCTTGCTGCTTTCAGGGAATGGTTTTAGGTCTAGTTACTATCAATTGTTGTAAGTCAGAGGCATGAGTGGGTTACAAAGAAAAAAACAGAGAATATGGAACATTCAAGCCATGCATTCCATGAGCTTATAGAAGTTAATTACAGTGGGAATCTGAAGTACAGCGAGATTGATTTCATTGTTTTTCCTTGAGGTCCATTCTAAACAGGCTGACTGTACAGCGTATAAGTAGAACAAAAGCATAGTCATAAATGATCTCTAGTCACATTATTAGCTTGTTACAAATGGAGTGGGAGTCTGAGAGTAATGGCAAGCTACAGGCAGCATTCTCAGAAAAATTGTTCCTACAATCCTACTCCCTTCCTGAAGGAGACCACTCCAGTGCACCTGAGACATAGGTGCTAGATAACAGAGTAATCACTGAAAAGGCAAATATTTCTATATCATCTATGTGTACAGGAACAAACAAACAAACCTTTAAATAACAATAACGTTTGTTTTGAGGGACCATGGCAGGGGAGGGAGTTTGGGGGACTAGTTGACCACTGGGCTGCTGGCAGAATCTAATTAATATCGGGGATGTTATTTTAAGCCCTTGCGTGGTTTGGCTGGTTTATTTATTAATTAGTGGGCTGGCAAGTTGCTGAGCCACAGTTTTTAAATTTTCATTTTAAAAGTTACCATTTCTAGAAAGGTAAACAGACGGTGAAAAGCTTCTAAGTTTGCATCCACAGAGAAATGTCAAGCCCGCCCTTCACACCCCAGGTGCCCCACTGTGTTCAGGTGGAGACTAGTCTTTAGGTCAGGGTGGACTAGCAGGGCAAGGGAAGGTCAAAAAGGATGGAGGATTGGGCCATGAAGTGTGTGTGATTCAACAGGAGGTGGGGGTTGTTTTTTGGTTGTTTTTTTTTTTAAGTTCTCTCTTTTTCTCTTAATAAGGCTGTGTATTTAGTCTAATTTGATTCTAAAGAGTGAAATTGGTTTTTTTTTCTTTTTTTCTTCTCCAAGTTTCTGAACCAAGGGTCCCATAGTCAGAGTACCAGGGACAACATTTCTAATTGTTTAATGTTTAAAAGCTCATAAATTGATGTTAATGATGCCTGAGCTCCAGTTCCTTTAAGGAAAGTGATTAAGGGCTGTGCATAAGTTTAAGCTCCAGAGACAAAGAACTCCCCCTAGTGAAAACAAAAGCCAAAGATAATCAAGGGATTCACCTTTTCATTTTCCTCAGCTGCATTTGGTCCCCAAGTGTGGATAGAATATCATTTCTATGAAATGAATACTTATTTGAAACTCCGAGCAAGTTTTTTTCTAGGCATAAGAATTAAATGAACCACAGAGAATAATAAACATTGATAAAATATTGATCTGAAAAGCAGACCTAGTTTGGTGTTCTTATAATTGCAATTATTTTGATGTTTAAATCTTTTTTTTTTAATTTCCTCTTAAGGTAATTTTGACCAGTTCAAAGCAAATTGATAAATCATTTCTGTACAAGTTCCTACAGCCATGGCTGGGCCTAGGACTTCTCACAAGGTAAGGATTGTCTGTGGTTTTTTGATAGACAACTGTCCAGCTACCCGGTAGCATACAGCTATGGTAAATAGACAGTTCCTAGCCAGGCATGCCTATAACCAGAAGTTGTGAGCTCGTAAGTGTGAAAAGCACTCTAAGAACTAGGAGGTCTGCTGTAGAGGGAAAATGTGTGGTGGGGGAAGCCTTGAAAAGCTAGTGGAACAGCCAGGTAGCTGCAGATACCTACATAAATCAGCCTTGATCTGACACCTGGAAATAAGCCTCTCCCCCAAGAGAAGGTCAGCCAGGAACAGGCATTTAGTAAACTGTTTTTCAGGCTTCAAACAGTAGACATTAAGATCATATGGGTGTCTGAAAATCAAGGCTTAGGGGAGGGGCTGATCTTCAGAAATTCATCTTAGAAATGGACAAAATATTCTCAACATTTTCTACTTTATAAAATTAATTTTAACTATTAATATCATAGAGTGAGGTCCAGGTATCAACACTATGGGAATAAGTGAGACTATGTGGCCCCTTTTCTCATTTGAATGAGATCATTACGGCACCGTGGTGGAGGCTGTTTTAGAATCGCGCTAATGGGGCTGGGCTCGCGGCTGCTGCTTGCGCTGTGGCTCTACTCACCTTGAGTTTATTATGATGTCCTGCTTTCAGTACTGGGAACAAATGGCGCTCCAGGAGGAAAATGTTAACGCCCACCTTCCATTTTACAATTCTGGAAGATTTCTTAGATGTCATGAACGAGCAAGCAAATGTATTGGTTGGCAAGCTTGAAAAACACGTCAACCAAGGAGCATTTAACTGCTTTTTCGACGTCACTCTTTGTGCGTTGGATATAATCTGTGGTAAGTGCGATCGGTTTATACCGTGACAATATATGGCCGAAATAGGAAATAAGATTCCGTGGGTGGGACGAATGAGGGGATTGATAGGAAAGGACCCAGGATCCTTCAGGGTAGTGTTGTAACTCTCCCCAAGAAGCAGCAGTCGTTCCCGGGGTGCATGTGGCGGGGAAGGGGGTGGGGTGTCCAAAGTAGTCACCATATCACTTTGCCTGGAAGGTCAAAAGGAAAGGATGACAGGAACTGTAAATAAGATGTGCAGAAGGGAAAAGAAGCGGCGAACAGAAGAGAACAGGATCCACCTGTCTCTCAGCATCCCGTGTCGCACGGCAAAGACAGCTGACTGTGTAGGAAATGTTTCTCTCTGTATGTTGCAGAAACAGCTATGGGGAAGAACATCGGAGCTCAAAGTAATGGTGATTCTGAGTACGTCCGGACAGTGTATAGGTAAGTGCGTGCATGTGCAAGTGTGTGTGTGTGTGTGTGTGTGTATGAGTGTGTGTGTGTGTGTGTGAGAGAGAGAGACTGTGTGAGTGTGTGTGTGCATGTACAAGCGTGTGTGTGTGTGTGACTATGTGAGTGTGTGTGCATTGTGTGACTATGTGTGCGTGTGACTGTGTGAGAGTGTGCATGTGCAAGCGTGTGTGTGTGTGTGTATGTAGTCTTTAAATATTCTTTAAAATTGCTACTGATTTGGGCTTTAAAACCATTGCTAATCACATCTATCTATGTGGTATTTTGATTGTGTTTGAAATAAAATTTTAAACTAAAGATTCACTTCATAATATAGGTATCAACATTAGTAACAGGCGATTGCTATAAATTTATTGTATGTCTGAGTGCTGTAGTAATTTAAAATTTCTCATAGCACGATGATGTCACAAGGCAAAAGAAAGATAGAAACAATCCTAATAGCATGCCAACTATTACTATTTATCCGTTATTTTTATGAACACTCTGTAACAGTTTTCAACCCGTGTGCTGTGACCCCTCTGGGGGTCAGATGACCCTATCACACGGGTCACATATCAGATAACATGCGTGTCAGATATTTACATTATGGTTAATGACAGTAGCAGAATTAGAGTTACAAAATAGCAATGAAAAGAATTTTATGGTTGGGGGCCAGCACAATATGAGGAACTGTGTTAAAGGGACTCAGCATTAGGAGTTTGAGAACCACTATTCTAGATCTACACCACAATGCTAGCAGTGGTTACTGCTGTTCTGTGTGTGCTTTCTGTTTTATTGGGAAATTTTTAATACCATGTATTTTTTTCATATCTTTTGCATTGATTGTATGCTGATTTTGCAGTTGAGACCATCCTTTTAAACTTTAAAAGTTCGAGGAGTTATTAGCCTATTAAGAGATGGGGATAGAATTTTACGTGATTTATACTATCTTCATTTATTGCTCAATTGGTTTCATTCTAACAGATATTTACTGAACATCTATAGTCAGCCAGGGATCATACAGTTAATTAATTACCAGTTACTTTAAAATTGACACAGACAACAGAATAGTGTGGAAGATGGCCACTGAACCAAAAAAAAATAGAAATTTAGGAATTTTAACAGTTGTTAAAAAAGAAAAGACCAAGTTGTTATCAGGCTGCAAAGCATGGTGATGCTCTAGAATTGTGTCCAGGAAAGGCCACCTTCAAAGAGCTGTCACTTAGACTGTCCTAAAGGAGGCAGAGCAGAGGTGTGTCTTCCCTGTCATTTCAAATGAGAGGCAGGTGCTGGAAACAGCTCTGTGACAGGTTGCTATTTAATGTGCAGTTTCTTGTAAAGACCGCTTATTTCTCAATCACACGTATCTATTTTGTGTGCATACGTATGAGTGTGTGTGTGTGTGTGTGTGTGTGTGTGTGCACCACGGTGCACATGCAGAAGTCGAGAACAACTTGTAGAAGCTGAAACTGCTTCTTCCCTTTTGCCATGTGCGTCCCAACATTAGACCGCAGGTTGTCAGGCCTGCTCACAGGTTTGTTTAGTTGCTGAGCCTTCTCACTGGCCCCAGAGTTTTTAATGTCCTCAGAAGAGTAACTGAGTACGAGCACAGAGCCTAGAGGCAGATTTTATCTAAGCCTTCAGTATAAAAGCCCTAACATTCCCGGGAAATTGTGAACTTGCACTGTAGGCATAAAAGCACTGGGCAAAGACATCTGCAGGTTTCAGAGCGGAGTTTTCAGTTCCCCAGTACAACCATTATTTGCTGACGCTCCATTATATGTGATGTGATCTATTATGCCACCACTGAGCATTAAACATGGTTCTCTAGCAGCCTCGAACACAAATCAGCATCACTTTATTTATTACCGTTATCAAGGCCGGATTCCAGAGGTCAGCAGATAACGTTTCTGACATCAAAGGTACTGTTATCCTGTTTATAGGGTGAGTGATATGATATACCGCAGAATGAAGATGCCCTGGTTTTGGTTTGACCTTTGGTACCTTCTGTTTAAAGAAGGACGCGAACACAGAAGGGGACTCAAGCGCCTACATACTTTCACCAACAATGTAAGTTGTGTGGGTTTGTGTTTGTGTGTGTGTGTGGCACTGTGTACATGTGTTCAAAATATACAAAGCATAGAATCAAGTGGAATTAAATGACTTCACAATGTTGTGCAGCTATTACCAAATATGAGAATATGGTTTATTTTATTTATTTATTTATTTATTTTGGAGACAGGGCTTCTCTGTAACTTTGGAGCCTGTCCTGGAACCCACTCCGCAGACCAGGCTGGTCTCAAACTCACAGAGATCTGCCTATCTCTGCCTCCTGAGTGCTGGGATTAAAGATATGTGCCACCACCACCCAACCCATATTCTTAAACCCAATGTTGTTATGTTTTTTGTTTTAAATATATACCAAAATGTAGGATCATGGTGTAAAATATATTTTCTATAAAATTTAAATAGAATAGTAATGTAAAAAATGATCAATATTACATCAAAATTACATATTCAGCTGGCATTAATGAAACATTTGCTGAGTGTTCCACACTGCAGCCAGTGTTGGAAAGAGAGAAATTAATCAGACAAGCATATTCTCTACCGTTTTGGAGAGTAGTCTAGGAGAGGAGGTTCTCCATAACCGTAATTACAGAACGTTCTGTGGACTTATGGACTTTGAGCATTTATTAACGAGCAGGGTTCTGGATGGAAGGAGGAAGGGGACTGAGATCTGTCCAGGAACCCTTTGGGAAATGTTTGCAGGAAGGCAGCAGTTCTCATAGGAAAGGACATCTAACATAGTACATAGTATAATTCAGTGACCATTAATTTGGTAGGACTATTTTTTTTCCAAACTGAAAAATAAGCAGGTGGTAGGAGTTTTGTTTAAAACCCCTTTGGGTTGAAGACATGTTTGCCAAAAAGCAAGACTGAATTGAAAATATAGAACACAATTGCAATGTGGTGAAATTTTCTCATTGAATTATACCTTTTCTTTGCTGTAATTTTTGCTTAAATATATTGGGCTTGCTTCTTCATTGGTGGACAAGCCACCAATGGGTCACGTGATTAAGTCAGTGGGTGTTAAATGAAAGAGATGCTACGTTGAGTTGCCCGCAGCGTCATCGCCAGGTTGTCGGAGAAGAAGCGGTCACGTTTTATAACTGCATTTTTCCTCTGAATGTAGCAACATCAACAACAGTACAATAATCTGTGAATTCCAGACTGCATAGACTGTGCTGTTCATTCTGCAAATATTAAAATATATATTGCAAATATGAAATATATTTTATATATAAATATATATATATATATATAAACACTTATGAGTTCCATGAGGAATAAAAGAAAACATAGTATTTTGTTCCCAAATTTCTGAGAATGTACTTGTTTAAGCCTCTGCACGGGTAGGTCACCTAATTACCCAACAAGGAAAAAAATGTTCATGAACTCCAGGCGGTGGTTCGAAGCTAGCCTGGTCTTACAAGGGTTAGTTCCAGGGTTGTTACACAGAGAAACCCTGTCTTGAAAAATACAAAACAAAATGAAAACATTCATCAACACAGCAGGTGTATGGACTGTTTCTGTTATTGTTATTCAGATTAATCTAATGAACACTCTAGAATGCTGCCCAGGGTTCTTATTCTGAGTGGCGGAAACAATACACAGAAGCAGACTCTGCTAAGAGGATGGTCGTGCTTGAGATTGTGGGGAAACATGCTAAATAAAATGCAAACTCAAAGCATGTCAGGTAATAAAGGAAGAAGGTACAACAGAAGGAAAGTCAGGCACATAGAGAGTGTTAGTGAGCAGGGCAGGCATGAGCGTGGAAGATCTCTCTGTGGCTTTCACCTGAGACCTGTACGTGGCAGAGGATCCTGTCACAGGCGCACTCAAGGGCCGAGCATTCTGGGCTCCCTGAAGAGCAAGCCAGCTGGGTGAATTGGCTCAGCAGCTATTGGTTCATGAACTTGCTATTTCCTTTCTCCATAACCAGATGCACTCACCAAGAGGGATCTAGAATTAGTGTATTCAGTAACTGTGTCCTCTCTACTTCTCCTCATTAGTTCCCACACATCTCTAGGGGACTGTTTAGTAGCCAGTGACTCTGTTCCCCTGTTAGAAAGATTGCAAAAGTAGTATTGAAAATTACCGGTTTGTCCTAAAATGAAAATCTTATTTCATAGTTAAACTACACGACGTCCTTAGTGTTTACCAAAGGCTTTGTTGCTCTTCCACGAGAGCCTAAGTTGTTACCAAAATAGAAAAAAACAGGAAAAGTTTGGGGGTGGGAATAAGTTCAAGAAGCTGGGATATTTTCTTTTTTTTTTTTTTTTTTTTTTCTTTTTTTTTTTTTTTTTTTTTGCTGGGATATTTTCATAGAAAAAAAAATGTAGCGGTAAGCCTCACCAAAAGTGCAAATTGTGTATTCGACATGATTTAAATCCTACAGGTCATCGCTGAGCGGGTCAATGCCATGAAGGCAGAGGAAGACTGGAGTGCCGGCGGGGGCCCTGAACCCTCCAGAAGAAAGCGCAAGGCCTTTCTGGACTTGCTTTTGAGTGTGACTGATGAGGACGGAAACAGGTTAAGCCAGGAAGACATCCAAGAGGAAGTTGACACCTTCATGTTTGAGGTAAATTTTGTTGCCAGGTAACTTTTATTACTGAAGCCTTTCCCAGTTGGAGTGTTATTGTGGTGGAGACATCTGCCTCACTTATACAAGAACTAGGTTCCAGCCCCAGTGCCACAGAAACAAGCAAGCAATACATACATACATACCTACAAAATAAAAAATAAAAAGGAGGGGTTGGCGGAGTGGCTTAGCGAGGTGGCTCAGCAGTTAAGAGCACTGGCTGCTCTTCTAGAGGACCCAGGACCAAGTCCCAGCACCCACATGGCAGGTCACAACTGTCTGTAACCCCCGTTCTAGGGGATATGGCACCCTCACACAGACACACATGGAGGCAAAACACAAATGTGACCAACAAGATGGCTCAGCTAGTGAAAGTGCTTGCTATTGAGCTTGACCACCTGAGATGGATGCCTGCAGTCAACATGGTGGAAGGCAAACTCTACCTCTTACAGGTTGTTCTTTGATCTCTAAACATGGGCCATGCCATAACACACACACACACACACACACACACACACACACACAGAAATTAATTAATTAATTTAAAACATATCCAGTCTCCTTGATGATTAGAATCACTAGCATAGAGAGTTGGAGAGATGGCTCAGTGGTTGACAGCACTGGCTGCTCTTCCAGAGGACCTGGGTTCAATTCCCAGCACCTACATGACGGCTCACAACTGTCTGTAACTCCAGTTCCAGGGATATGGCTCCCTCACACAGACATGCATGCAGACAAAACACCAATGCACATTAAGTCCAAATAGGTGAATAATAAAAAGAAAAGATTACAAAAAGAATCACTAGCAGAGATTTGAAAAATTCAAACACTAAAGCAGCTTTAGTATAGCTGGAAAAAATTAATATCCTCTTCAGAAATTCTAAAATTTAAGAACAGAGTGATGATAGACACATTATATTTTATTAAGCAAATTTAAGGGTCCCCAGACTTTTCCCAAGAAGACACGAAACCTCACATTGTCCTCGGTTCCCTATGTGGCTCCATGTTTCTCTTAACGTCCCCAAACAGGTCCATTTCACTCCTTTCAATGTCTAGCATGCATCTATTGCTGAGAGTGCTTCAGACAAAGAAAACCTAACCAGCTTGTGATTCCAGTGGAATCTGACATTTTAGTATTTTTTAAAAACTCTTCTTACAAATATACCTTAAATATTCTATGAATATCACGAAGTGTGGAGCTTTCTACAGGTGTTGCAAACTTAAGGTTTCAGGAAATCCTCTGATGTAGCAGCAGCCTCCGAGTGGCGGGAAGGGAAGTCCTAGAGCGCCGAGTATCGTGTTGCTTTGGCTGCTCTGTGTCAGTCATCAATCATTAGTCAAGGAAAAGGACCCGCAGACACGTTTCAGGCCAGTCTGATGGTGGCACTTCTTCAATTGAGTCCCTTTCTTGTCAGGTGGGCCAAGTTGACAGACAACCTAACCAGGAAAGCAATCCTCCTGCCTCAGCCTTCTCCCAAGTGCTGGAGTTATGGAAGCGACTACTCCCACCCAGCCTAGAGGCTGTGGAGTCTGTTTGTTGCTCACTAAGGTGAGCAGCTGCACTCAGTGAGTTAGGTACTGCAGTCTTCCTGCTGCTGTGAGACACAGGGACTTCACTTTTGTCCTCACACACACCACAATTTAAATGTCTCCTCCTTGTAAATTCAGGGTCACGATACAACTGCAGCTGCGATAAACTGGTCCTTATACCTACTGGGTTCTTATCCAGACGTCCAGAGGAAAGTGGACAAGGAACTGGATGACGTGTTTGGTGAGTTGGACCACTTTGTTAGCTCTGTTGGGGGCCCTAAAAAGCAGTAGTTGTTTTTGATCCATAAAGATGCTGTTGTCATCAACACAAGTATAGGACTCCTGCTTGCACCTAAAACAAACACATGTGCCCATGGCTTAGAGTCACAGGCTGTGCCTTTGGGCAACACCAAGAAGATGCTGTGTGAGAGCACAGGGCACAGGTGGAGAGAGCTATGAGGGTAAAGGGAGAGTCCATGTGGCTGCACCTGACATGGTGAGAGCGGTGATGCAGGATGCAGCAGGCACGTGACTGCATCTCTGCACCTGGCATGGTGAGAGCGGTGCAGAGGGATGCTGTAGGAGGATTTGTTTCTACTACACAACAAGTTCTGTCATCTCTAAAGTATTTTCAAAGGAAACCTGTACTTCAGTTGCTCATTTTTCTTCCCCTTAACCCTGCCCCTGGAAGTCACTCTCTTGCTTTCTATTTCTATAAATGGAATAATACACAACCATTGTCTTTGTAATGTGACTCTATTAACATTTGTCTTTGTGACTCTATTAACATATTAAAATGAGATATGGTCTTGTCTTATCTGGTCTCTGTTACTTAACCGAATGCTTCATTTTCTTTTATTATCTGTGATATTAGAAATTCTGCTTTGCAAGGCGGTGGTGGTGCATGCCTTTAATCCTAGCACTCAGGAGGCAGAGGCAGAGGCAGGCGGATCTCTGTGAGTGTGAGGCCAGCCTGGTCTATAAGAGCTAGTTCCAGGACAAGCTCCAAAGCTACAGAGAAACACTGTCTCAAAAGAAAAAAAAGGAAGGAAGGAAGGAAGGAAGGAAGGAAGGAAGGAAAGAAGGAAGAGGGGAAAGTTCTGCTTTTTTGTGAACATTTGACTTCCTGTGCTGTGGTCCCATATTGCTCTTGATGGCTCTCCTACCTAAGCCTAGCTAGGGCTTTGTTTTCATTTTGGACATTTATTTTTTTACCAGGTAGGTCCCTTCGCCCTGTCACCTTGGAAGACCTGAAAAACCTTAGATATCTGGATTGCATCATTAAGGAGACTCTTCGGGTTTTCCCCTCGGTCCCTTTATTTGCCCGGAGTCTTAGTGAAGACTGTGAAGTCGGTGGGTATTGGAGTGTGAGGGAGCAGAGGAAATATTCCTGTATCTATCTGGTGGATCATCCTGACAGGTCGCTCTCTCTCGACAGCTGGTTTCAGAGTGGCAAAAGGCACAGAAGCGGTCATCATTCCATATGCCTTGCACCGAGACCCCAAATACTTCCCGGACCCCGAAGAATTCCAGCCAGAGCGGTTCTTTCCCGAGAATTCCCAAGGACGCCATCCCTATGCCTACGTGCCCTTTTCTGCTGGACCTCGAAACTGTATTGGTTTGTATCCATACGAGTGGGTTGGATCTTTCAGGCCCGCGTGATTGATTCTCACAAGAATCTCTGAGGCAGTGGACTAAGACAGGCTCTGTTTTCTTCCACTTTGTACTGTGGTTTTTAAATGCCATTGTTAGGGGCTGGGAACGCAGCTCAGTAGGTATTGTGTAAGCGCGAGAACCCAAGTCTGTCCCTAAGTGTATGGAAAGCAGGGTGTGTGATCCAGTGGTGGGAAGGCAGAAAGAGTGGAACGCTGAGACAGAATACAGCATAGATGGCTTGGAATGATTGACACCTTCTACCGCGCAGCGGTTTCACCATGCAGCAGGGGAAGGCGTGAGTGGGTCTTCCAAGGTTTCTCGCTTTGGTTTACATATGGCAGCCTTCTCTTTGTGCGTCTTCACTTGGTCTTTTCTCTTTGTGTGCTTGTGTGTTAAATACCATTGTCTTGGTTCGTATTGAGACCAACCTTAATGACCTCCTTCAGTTCATTTAAGTGTAACTAGGCATTGTTAATTTTTATTTAAAGACCCCATCTAAGGACATGCATAGTATAGAATGTCGGGAGTTGCCTGGTGTAGGCGCTTAGATTCAGGAGGCAGAAGCAGGTAAGAATCTCTGTGAGTTCAAGGCCAGGTAGGGATACATAGTGACACCCTGCCTCAAATAAACAAATGAGAGAGGGAGTAAAGAAAAGAGTGAGAGAGAAAAAGAAGGAGCGTGAGGGAGGGGGAGAGAGAGAAAGAGAGGAGAGAATATATTGCTGGGAGTCAGGATTTCTATGTCAGAATTTTGGATTTAGAAACAATTCTTCCTATAACACAGAGTATAATCAAGTTTCTGGTAGATATTTAATTGTTGAGAGAGAGAGAGAGAGAGAGAGAGAGAGAGAGTGTGTGTGTGTCATGCCACCGCAAGAGTGTGGATGTCAGAGGAAGTCTTTCGGAAGTTGGTTCTCGCCTTCCATCATTTGGGTCTCAGGGATCGAACTCAGGTCATCGGGCTTGACAGCAAGAGCCTTCAGTTACTGATGGGCTGTCTTGCTACCCCTAGAATTCTAAAACACTGGAGATTTAGCTTGGTTATTATGGTCTTATAACCATATTTAACCAATAATAACCATTATTATTTATGGTTAAAATGTCTATGATAAGACTTATTTTTTGTTTGAACAAATTACAGACCCAGACAAAGGGCATTATCTGACTGCCAGTCAAGAACATACAAATGCACATCACATGATCATAAACAATTTGGCTTTAGCATTTAGTTCTTTATTACTTACATTAATGCAAATATTAATGAAATGAACTAGATCTAAATATGTGGATCTGAACCACATCTGGTTACTCTAGAGAGAATAAATGAAGGAGACAATAAAAAACAATCTCGATCCCCCGAGTAAATGGGGAGCATGGGGACCATGGGAGAGGATTGAATGGGAGGGGAGAGAAGGGGAGGAGAGCAGAGGCATACATGCAGACAGAACACTGTACACATAATAAATAAATAAATCTTTAAAAAAATATTTTAACCTATGGTCATTTGAATACATAGATACAGAATCTATAGATCAGAGAGTTTGTGGTACTGCAAAAGTAAGATTGCCTGGCTGATGTGATCAACAGACTACCTTGGTCTGTTATAGGGCAGAACTTAGATAGGCAGGGAAAACTAAACTGAGTGCTGGGATAATGAAGGATGGAGTCAGAGAGAAGCCATGTAGCCCAGCCAGACATAGACGCTGGAAGTTTAGCCAGTAAGCCACAGCCACGTGGCTGTACACAGATTAATAGAAATGGGTTAAATTAATATGTAAGAGTTAGTCACTAAGAAGGTAGAGCTAATGGGCCAAGCAGTGATTTAATTTATAGTTTTTGTGTGGTTATTTCAAGGCTAATCAGCCTGGAACCAACAAGTGGCTCTCTTCCTACAACATCTGGCTGCCCCAGCTAATCCGATTCACAGGGGAGCAAAGGGACACCCCAAACTCCCCAGTTTTAGCCATCATCTCAGGGATCATGCTCTCTGGCCTACGTGAATATGAAATGATGACTGTACCATGGTTTCTTGCCTCTCACACTTGGGCTGTGTCTATAATTCAAGTGATGGTTTTGACATTTACTTACAGGTCAAAAGTTTGCTGTGATGGAGGAAAAGACGATTCTTGCCTATATCCTGAGACACTTTTGGGTAGAATCCACCCAGAAGAGGGAAGAACTGGGCCTGTCTGGAGATTTAATTCTTAGGCCAAATAATGGTATCTGGATCAAACTGAAGAGGAGACATGAAAAGCCCTAACTTTGTCCTTGGGCTGTGACCTTATGATGAAGATCATTCCATAAGAAACACGGTATTTGCAGTTTTTATATTGGGAGCTGAAAACTCTTGAGTCCATGGACATAATGTTTTTTTCTTGCCCCCACTGCTCTTGGGACCCAGTCCGTCACAGTGAGCTTTGTATGTTTATTTCCAACATAGATGCCATGTCACACCTGCCCTTGGTCTCAAAGGTATTCTCAGCTGAGCCAACACCAAAATAAGCATATAATAAAAATTATAGCAGACGGAACCATCAGCCTATTCAATCTCATTGCTATATTCAAAAGATGCCATTTAAATGAAATTTCAGAATTAAGATGTTCTTGTTGACTCTGAAACCCATATGATATCATTTGAAAATGGTGGGTAACCAAGCTCTTCAGCATCGTGGCCTTAAGATTTATCTCATTAGTTATGAGATAGGCAGTTGTCATAACTCTCGCCGATTTTATCATGAAAAGCAGGTCCCTTACATGCCTGGCACAAGTGGCAGTCACCTTGCTAACTGTGTGCAAGGTCTTCTTTCTGTTCTTGGGGGAGTCACAATCACCTTTTATATCACGCCACTGGAAAAGATTCCTCTCTACAACTTCCAACCTCTCATGGTACCTCAGAAGCTCAGCTAGTGGCCTTCGAAGTTCAAGTAGCCACGGAAATTCTCTGCTTATGCCCTGTTCATTCTATTAAGAGTAGGAGCATAGAATAAATGGGATAGTAAATTTCTGCCCAAGTTCTACTACTAATTGTGGATGGCTAGACATAGATAAAATGTCTACACTGGAGCCTCCCCATTCCCTTTTTGATATACTTTCTCCTGATTTGGCTTTTTGAAACTCAGGATTGTGATTTGATGGATTAGAACCTTTTAGTATTTCTTGTATTTCTTCCACTTTTAGAGGAAGAAAGAATCTGTTCTTTTATATTTAGTAACACCGTAATAACACTTGGTTCAGGATTAGACATCTAATAAACTCAGCCCTGTGGAATATCCTTGCAAAGTTGATAATTGAATTACATTCCTTAGACTTTAATCTTGTATATAATACTGCTATTTCTCAGGTAATGACTTTTAGACACTTCTTTTTAATAAATATTTTTTAACAGGATCAGTTGTGTGGCTTGTTTTGTTTCCAATTTTCCATGACCTAGCAAATAGAAGCAAGAAGTGGGAAGGATAGAATATGTATCCATGATTCAGTACCATAGAGAACAGTATAACAAACGGCATTTGGCAAGCAATGCACCACAGCACGGGTCAAACAGGGAAACAGTACCAAATAGATCGTTAGACTCTCCAGGGAGCCCCAGTACACAGGATTCAAGCCCTAAGCTGATGAGAAAAATAAAACAAAAACAAAGAGGGAGATACACACTTGTAGTGAACTGTATAGTAAAGCCTTGGTGTATGACTTTGAATGAAATGTTTCAGCAAAGCCTTTGTTATGCTTGGGTTCATCAGCAGAGGCTGAGAATTTGTTCTGAGACCATTTGAACCTTGAAGAAATGTTGACTCTGGAGAATCTGCACTTGGTGAGAGCTTGCAGCTGTACTGACCTTGGTCCTAAAACACTCCTGGCAAACCCGGAGAGCCATTATCAAAAGGGACTGAGGTTTGTGTGGGCTGTCTGCTCTCATGGGTAGCAAGGCATGAAGGGACTGAGGTGTGTGTGGGCTGTCTGCTCTCATAGGCAGCAAGAGCAAGATGACTTTGAGAGCTGGAACCTTTCCCAGCCCCCATTAGCCTTGTGTATGTTTGAATAAAGCAACTGGAGTGAGCTAGCTGAGTGTCAGTCTTTCCCAAAAAGTCTGTACCCCTCTGCTCCTATGGAAAATGAAGGCTTGGCATATTGGTGAGCTTATCTCTTCTGTGGCACCTATGACCTGCATAAAACAATACACAAAGATTCTCTGAAATGACTAACTTCACTATGTAGAAACTGGGACTAATTACAAAGTTGCATTCCAAATTATATGGGAAAGTTTAATTGGCTTCACTTATAGAAAGTGGCTTTCTTTTAACTTATACCACAATACATTTAACTCTTGGCTTATAAGTTTTACATTTTTAAACAATTTATTTACTTTTTATTTAGTATGTGTGTACAGGTGTGTGTGTGTGTGCACAGATACACATATTTCACAGTGTAACTTGCTTTTTCTGTTTAAGAGGGTGAAGCCAGAGTTCCTCCTTGGGGTTTTTCCAGCTGGAGTTGAAGAAAAGAGAGGGTTGAGGGTTAATCTTCAGAGGAGACTCCGGATCACAGATTGATCCTCTGTAGCAACTTCTAGGGGGTGGAATGGAAGGGATGAGTGGAGAAGAAAGAGATAAGAAATGATGGCTCCTGAGTGTTGCAGGGTTCCTACCACCCTCTCTTTAACTGTCCTTTGGAAACCAAGGGCAGTGTACTGCCTGCTTGCTTCAGCAGAAGTTTTTATTTTTCATAGCCCAAAGCAAGCCCATGTTTGATAATTCAGCTTCAGAGTGAAGAATCAAGTCTCATTCTTGGAACATCATCTTGGTTTTCAACCCATTTTCTTTCTGATGTAAATAATAACTCTTCTGTATCATTAGTGCAGAAGTAGGCTAGCTATTTCAGTCCAATAGTATTTGATAACATGTATAGTTGCTTTCTTAAATTCTACCATATCTTTCAGATCCATTTTAGAGTACTGCTAACTTGGCCAAATACAACAATCTTGTTATAATCTCCAGACTGACCCAACATTTCCCCCCTCTTCTAAGGTGGGTGTACGCTGTCTTTTCTTATGGGTAGCTAGATGTATTACAAATTTATGAATCAATTCTGGTCTTCTGCAATTATTAACAATGAACTAGTTAGTTGTACCGCCCCCACCAATCACTTGCCCAGGAACTTTGAACTTTCAGGGCAAAAGTCCACCCCTAGGACTCAGGCTGTGTTCCATGGTCTGCCTCTAGTCACGTCCACAGTTCGGGTCAGACTGCAGGTCTAAAGTTTGAAGCTTTATCAGGCAACACCCAAGCTCCAGGCTGATCTCTGCAACTCTAGGCTCTGATAAACCTGGAGTCCAGGCCTGTCCCTCATGCTTGGCAGTAGGCCAGTTCCTCAGGATGCCAGTCCCAGGGGACTGAAGACCCAGAATGGCACTCATGGTATCAGGAGCCACATATGTCCCCATGGAGTCAGTGCTAGCGCCATTTCAGAGCTCCGCTGTACCATGGGACAAGGCTCCATGCCTCCCCACGGACCAAGTGAAAGAAATGAGTAGATGCTGGTCAACAGGTACAAAACTTCAGGCAAGACCAATGTTTGGGGGCCTATCATACTTACAACAATGTTATTATCAACAATATATTATGCCTACACTTAAAAACCAGTAAGAGTTGATTATATGCTCTCACCCGCCGCCCCCCCCCAGATAGTAAGTATGTAATGTAGACAGGCTAACAAATTAATTTGAACACTGTATACTCTTGAGGTTGTAAACATAAAATACAGCACCTGTTTAAAAAAAAAAAAGAAAAAAAAAGGAGTACTTGCTATAAAACTAGTTTTAACCAGAGCAGCAACACAAGAATGCTCATTAGAGCTAGGGCCCATGTGGCTAACAATCGGTTTTAGCTCATGTAAGATGGGCATCTTTGCTTAGCTTACAGTAGTATAACTATGACCTACACGATGCTGGTCACCCACAACTGTGGGCCAAAGGACCACCTGTTCTCAGTCCTGTTTGTTTGCTCTCCCATGTAGTTACACATCATTCCCCTCTCAATAGGCACTACCATCCAGGGCTCTGGGGAAAGACAGCCAACAAACTGCAGCCCCAGCCCCTAAGAGCAGGATGTTAAAGATACAGAAGACAGTGAGTAGATGAGATAATGCCTGTTAGCCAGGGCTATGCAGAGAAGTGAACGGCAGGAAATGAATAAGGGGTTGGAAACTGTAGGGAGGGAGCATTTGTGCAGGGGTCTGTTTGATGCGAGAATGTGGATATTTGGGACAATACTGAACCTAAAAGTAAGGGGAAATGAGCGTGGAGGGGCAGGAGGTGACTCCTCTTCCCTTTCAGTCACTGGAGATATTCCTCTGTGTGAGTGTGTGTGTATGTTTGTGTGCACGCATATGTGTGTGTGAGAGTGTGTGCATGTGTGCATGATGTGTATGTGTGTGTGAGCGTGTTTGCATTGTGTGTGTGCATGCATGTGCGCGCGCGCGTGTGTGTTTTGTGTGTGTGTGGTGGAGGGTATAGGTCTGAGATTCTACCTTTTTCCAGCTAGTAGACAGAGATGGTTCTCAAGTCCTTGTCTCAAGGCTCCTCCACATCCAAGGCAGCACCCAAGAAATCTCCCTGTTGCTCCTCCCTCTTGTACTTTGAATCTCTCTGAATTCTCCTTATTAGAGCAGCACAGGTGGGTGCCATGGCTCAACAGGTAAAGCTCCTTGCCACCATGGCCCAATGACCTAAGCTTCACTGCTCTCCAGAGTTTATATATAGTGGAAAAAAAGAACCAACTGCTGTAACTTGTCTTTTGACATCAGCTGGTATAACGTGGCTCATGCAGCACACACAAACACACACACACACAGAGAATACAATTAAGAAGGGCAGCAGGAACCCTGCTTTAGAGGGCTCTGATGATGAGATCTGGCCCACTCAGTCTCTACCTTGATGAGCTCAGTGTCAGCTAAATTGTTGCCTTATTACACCTGCAAATGGTGTGGGAAGTCCTTCTGTATATGTGTTGCTTTTATTGGTTAATAAAGAAGCTGCTTTCCGCCAATGGCTTAACAGAATATAGCCAGGCTGGAAGATATATATATATATATATATATATATATATATATATAGAGAGAGAGAGAGAGAGAGAGAGAGAGAGAGAGGGAGAGAGAAGGCAGAGTCAAAGAAATGCCATGTAGCTGCCAGAGGGGAAAGATGCCAGCTGCCAGCTGAAACCTTGCCAGTAAGCCACAAACCTTGTGGTAAAATATAAAATAATGAAAATGGGTTAATTCTAGACGTAAGAGCTAGCTAGCAATATGCTTAAGTCATTGGCCAAGCAGTGATTTAATTAATACAGTTTCTGTATGGTTATTTCGGGGCTAAGCAGCCAGAAACAAACAAGCTACCTCCTACTACATGCAAAGCCACGTTTCTCATCACCCAGTCACTGAAGCACGGTCACTGCAGAGGTGCTGGCTCACAGTGCCAGTGCACTCTGCAGGATCAGAGTGGGAACTTTGGGAGGCACACTCAGAACTCTGTCTACCGCTGGCTCCCTCAGTGTAATCTACGGAGAAGTTTTAGTTTTTATTGTATTATGGGAATAGAACTTCTATTTCATTGTCAGGAACTTTCAGATTAAGCACAGAAGTATATTTAGGGAGGTTTAAGTGTGGAATATTACCCTGTAGGCAAGTAACCTCTGAGCGTGTCTGTTGTACATTGAAGACCTTTTCTTTCCCCACCATTGTTGAGCCTGGTGGCAGATAACATCACAAATTCCAATTTTTTTTTACACTTTACTGGACACAGTGTTTTGCTTTGTTGATGGCTGACGTACCAGTTAATACCCTGTCTCCAGAAAGAAGTACAGCAAGCTGTTTAAATATGCTACTTTATAGCGGTCCAGAGATATTTATTGGTGGCATGATTCATTGTTTCTAATAAATACAGCTCTGTATCTCAGGAACACATGCAAAGTATTTATGAGCCAACTCTCTACAAATCTAGTTTACTAGTTAAAATGACATACTGTAATTTTGCAGAATAGAAATCAGAGGAGATTTAGCAGTGAGTGATTATGGCCTTTAAATATTTTTTAAAAAGCAAAAATAAGGAATAAATTATTAGTTAGTAAATCTGGCACTGAAAGTTAGAAGTCTCAAGGAAGTGTATGCATTTTCTTTTATCTGGAAACACTTTTCTAAAAAATTAAAAATAAAATAGAGTTCCCTGAGGGGGGCCTAGGCAACTTGTTAATCAGTGAGTGTTTCTCTAATGTAGGAATAGTGAGAGGAAAATCTAAACTCCACTCCAGAAGTTCTGTGTCGCAGCTTTGCTGTAAGGAATGAGATATTAAAATCTTCATTTGTTTGTTTTTTGTTTTTGCTGTTGTTATTGGAGG